ATATATATATATATATATAGAGAGAGAGAGAGAGAGAGAGAGAGAGAGGGAGACACACACAAATTCAGGTAGATGGTTGCACATTAACGTTCTTCATAATTCATGATTTCAAACCACACAAGTACAAACCACGCATAGTCATTAAAGCCTGTCACACGCAGAGTCCCTTACCCCTGGGTACAGTTGGAGTGACAGGGGCGGCACTCTTTGTTGGCTTCAGCGTACTTGAAGATGAAGCTGCTTGCACCCTGTAGCCCATCTGGGCATTTATCTACGCAGTTGGGACCATCTTTGAAGTGTGCACATTTTACACACTGGTCAGGGCCCTGTAACATGGGTGGGCAGAGAAAACAGTAGGAAGTGAATGTAGAATAAAGGAAGTGAGTTGCCACTTACTAAAAACATTTGATTTTTTTTCAGCATAATATTATAGTGCAAGAATGAAGTGAATCTAGATAAGCATTTTGAACAGTCAGCTGATATCACTAAAGTATTTTGCTGTGTAAGGCCTTGAGATTTCAGAAGTTGGTTGATGTCTCTCACATGAATGCAGGAGAATCTATAGCCTGTTCTTGGAAAACTCCATAAAACCCTGAACTGTTGAGCTGCTGTAGTGGTTATTTATATAGGTGTCAGCTTCCACAGACAGGACTTTAACTGCCTCTCGAAATAAAAAAGAAAGAAAAAAAAACTCCAGGCCAGGCCTGGCTGATGCATCACTGGCTTATTCAGAAATATACCACTGTCCCAACAGTTTTGTCATTTCTATTCAGTCTGGCATAACCTTGGAGCTCTCATGCCAAAAAATGGAAAGTGTATCTTTAAATGCATGCCATTTGTTTCTATTTCCCCAGACTGGGTGACTTTCAAGATTACTTTGTAAACACGTCACTAAAATTCTAAAGATTTATATAAATGCAATTCCACCAATACCATTAAAGACACCTGATAGTACAAAACTATATCATAGGAATGCCATAAAAAAGAATAAATCTGTAAAAGAATAAATGTTGAATAAGAACAAATACAAATGAAAATAAAATAATAGAGAAAATAAATTTTTTTAAAAGAATGAGAAAATTAATGCTTTTCTTTATTGATTTTGATTTTACTTTAACCGTTTTGCCGTATTGCTTTTGCCATTTAGCTTTTAATTTTACCAGATTGCTTTTACTTTTACTGTGCTGCTTTTAGTTTTGTGGTATTGCTTTTAATAAAGGGACAAGCTGTCAATCAACTGGCTTTAGGCATGCCTTCATACCCAGGCTGAGTAATCAATTCCAGTCAGGGGCCTTGCTGGAGATTTTGGGCCCCATGAAAGCATATCATTATTGGGCCCTCAGTCCAGACCAATCCAGTTATTTTCCAAATTTTTTAGGGCCCCTGTCACTCAGGGCCCTTGGAATCATCTTAATCCCTTCCCCCCTTATGGTGCCCCCTAATTCCAGCACACATGAATCCTGCTTTCGACTTGTTTACCAATTTCCAATCTTGTGCTCAAAACAAAAATGGAAAAAATGGATACCAAGCGCACACATTCTGTTTTTTTTTCTTTTTTCATCTGGCACAAGAGGTGTTACCCTCGTATGTGACAAGTTACTTGTGGAAAACGCTTTACTTAAATTGTGGTCACGTTTTTATCAATTCCATCCCACGATATGTTGAAACTTGGGCATGTTATACTAAAGGCGCTTTCACACCGCAGAAACTTTTTCTGGAACCAGGGACTTTTGTCATGTTCACACCATAGGAACTCAGCACAATTGTAGTTCCTTGGCGGCAGTTCCGGAACCCTTTTAAGTACCTACTCCAGGCTAGGTAGTTTTCCTTCAAACACAAACTACTGGGGAGGTGCAAGGCAATAGGGAAAAAGCAAAAGCAATAGGGTAAAAGTAAAAGCAGTTTGGCAAAATGAAAAGCAACATGATAAAAGTAAAGTAAAAACAGTATGGCAAAAGCAATATGCTAAAATTAAAAGCAATACGGCAAAAGCAATATGCCAAAATTAAAAGTAATACGGTAAATGTAAAAGCAATCCAATAAAATTAAAAGCAATACGGCAAAAGCAATATGCCAAAATTAAAAGTAATACGGTAAATATTACTGTAAAGCAAAGAGAAAAAGCAAACACATTAAATAATATCATTAATTTTCTTATTCCTTTATTTTTAATTGATTTCCTTATTATCATATTTATTTGTACTTATTCTTTTACAGATTTATTCTTTTTTATGGAACTCCTATGATTCCATACAAAACATGTAAGCCAAAAAAATACTAGTAATATATATTAAAGAACGCATATTAAATAAATAAAAAATATATATTTTCAGTGTTTGCCACCTTTTTGCATTAATGCTTCTATAAACTCTCATGTATCTTGGATATGTTTTTCAGAAGTCCAGATTTATGTAAGTCACTATTACAAGTCATGAGCTGCCTGTATTATAAAATTGTGTATATTTTGTTTGTGTGTTTCTTTATATTTATTAAAGTGGGGGGTCTATTCTGTAATGTGTTTAATATCCATAATAGCCATATTTTACATCATAATCCAATGTGAGTACAGCATTAGAGATTCGGAATAATCTGCAAATAATATTTCTATCACAATGAGACTAAAGAAAAAAAAATTTTGAAATAATGACCATTTTCAACCAATGCTGCATACATGATGACAAAGCAAAAGTGGTTCAGAAATGATACAGTGCTTTCCTCAAGGGCTCAGTAGTTAACACTGTAGCCTCACATTTGCTATGTTTCTGCAGGGATACCACTGGGTACATATAAGGTACTGTGAACAGGTTTGACTAAACTGCGCAAAGTAGTGAATGTGTCGCCTTGTGATGGACTGGCAACCCATCCTGGGTGTATTCTGCCTCACGCCCTGTGTATTCTGGGATAGACTTTAGGCTCAATAGAACCCTGTACTGTACTGGATGAGAGATTATTGGAAATGGATGGTGTTCTTGAATTGATGAACAGTATATAAATAGATATGGGCGGAATGATGTTTCAGTATCCTAAAGCAGGATGTGATGGATAATTGATATGAATAATTTGTAATGGCCAGGAAAGACAACATGACCACCTTCAGTTAGGTTGAGATGTTGGTTCAAATGTGGTGATTTTTACCGGGCCGTGGCAGGTCAATGCGTTGTCCTCAACCTTTTCACATTGGCTGTCACACTCCACACACACAGAACCGTTGGCAAACTCGCGGACATCCCTGGTAACAGAGAGAGTGAAATAGAATTGTACTGCTTTTTCTGCTGTGGGATCCTATGCAGATTAATAACGGTGAACTGACTGGTGTATTATACTAAATCGTGTAGGACCAGTTGCCCCTTGGCTCTCTTTCTCAGTTGAAAGTGTTCCGACTGACTAACTTCACAAATTTCTTTTTTTTTTTCAGCGATCAATGTGCTTTAAATTAAACCAATCAGTGAAGTAGTTTATTCAAGTGGCATAAGTATTTAAGCCATGCCTATCTTCCCGTCTTCTCTGGGGTGTTACATTTTCCCTGATATTTTATAACAAGAAACATTCCCATCTGACAAAAATAAATTAAACTATAAAAAGCTGAACAACAACAGCCTGTAAATAAAACCTGCACCTTGGTCAATACTGCAACAAGTACATGCACAAACAAAGTGCTATTATTAATTGACAATTAAACTATAAATATGCTTTGTTTTGTAATGGATTGGGGATAAGAATAAAATAATTATTGAAATGGATTATCCATAAAAACAAAGTGTAACAATTAAGGTAAAGTAGAAAAAATAGTTTATACGTTGTTGAATGGGTCCTATTGTTCAAGCCTGCTCAAAGAAGCCAGCGGTCTTTGCCAGCAGGAAAATTAGACTTTTTTTTTTTTTGACTACGTACTGAGTGACAAAGGAAAAGATAATAACAATGAATAATTCCACGTAATGGAATTACTGTAGCACTCTTTTTATAGCAGTCTTTTATTTGTTTTTTTATGCTGAAAGAAGAAATTGAAATTGTTGAAACATTAGCTATTTGAAATAAATGAGATATTTAAATTTTTGTAACTAAGATATTGTAGAAGCTACATTAAGGACATCCCGTGGTATGGTTCATAGTAGGGCTATACATGTATGACCGTGTTTGCTGTGCCCCACCCCCCCAGGCTCAGCTGGCTGGACTGTGATAACACCCCCACATGCCTGGCTCCAACATCACGATTATCATCCAAGCTCACACAAGGGCACACTGCGCTTGTGATGTTGTCCCCTTTTTAATTAAAAAGGATCACTTTGGAAGCCAAAAAATGAAATCATTTTTTTGCCCTTTTTTCCTGTTCTGCTGGTTACCTTCCTCCTCTTGAAGAGTATTAGAGCATGTTGAAAACAGCAAAAAAAAAACAAACAAACATTGCCACAGAAACACAAGACTAGACTTGCTCAGTCTAGCATTTAACAATACAATGCACAATATCAGTTCCTTTGAGCAGTATTTCACCTCTTAACAATATTACAGTATTGTGATCAGTTTTGTAACATTTAGATGAATTTGTTTTACATATATCTGCATGGCTTTTGTTCTAAGGAGTACTTGCTGCCTTTGATTTGTGCTCCGCCTTAAATAAATTTATAATTTTGTTTTTTTTTCTTAAATAGCTCCTCCTTCCACATGTTCTTCACCCAAGCTGAGCCTGTTTGAGAGGGCTTATAGTTAATTAGTAATTTTATGACCATGTCACTACCGCATTTTAAAAAAAGGAGATTTCTGTTTAATTTGCTACACATTCTTGTCTGTTTTATAACATAAATCTATTCTCTTCTGTTGTCCCAGTGTTTTGGTGTTGAAGGCTTAAGTAAACCCAAGTATTTTTCTGTGTATTGTTCGTAGGATTTTGTACCCCATTGGCATATCTGTTTCAATTATGGTTGAAGTATTTTCATAAAATTAATTGGCTTATTAATAGGATTTATTGTCCTTAGTCAGCTGCCACTATGACCAACATCACCTTTGCTCTAATATATGTTGTGCAACATTCAGATAATGAAATACACTGCTGCTGATGTTTCTGCTCCTGATGGTTATGTGTTGTATAATGTAGCATGCTGACCCCTCATACAGATTGCAGAATTCCACACATTGGCGACCCCTCTTGAAAAATCGGCAGGACAGGCACTGGGCTGGCCCAGGACCCCAGCAGCCGGCATCAGAACACAGTGGGTCACACACCATCTGGTCCTGGGCTGTATGAAAAGGAAGACCTTTCCAGTAAGAACACACCAAAAACCAGAATGTATTAGTAGTTATGAAATTACAGTAGGCTAAAGCTGGTATACTCACTACATTCCTTTGGGTCACGGTTGTTGCGTATCAAGGCCTTCTGGCTGCCAGTTCGAAACAGGCGGGTCCAATTTACTGTGTTGTAATAGCAGAGTTGGCTGTTGTTGGTAATGTAGACATTTCCCGCACTGATCTCACTCAGGGACTGTAGCTGGAGGGAGGAGATCCACTGCTGCTTGAGGATCAACAGGGAGATTCCACTGAAGGGGGGCAAGAGGGCAACAAGAGTAAGATAAGGGTAGGGGAACATGGTAGGGGGTTGGAAAGGTGCATAAAATATGAGGGAAGTGAGAAGTAGGATGTATGAAAATATGGGGAGAGTGGAATAATATGGGGGATGGTTGAAAATGGTGGAATTGGTAAACAATGTAGAGGGAAGGAGAAAATAAGTGGGAACAGATGGAGAAAGATAGAAAAGGGGGGATGTAAAGTGAGGAAGGCGATGCAAAAAAAATCATAGAAAAAGGTAGGAGCCACAAAATACTGTAGTGGAAAAATAGAATAGAAGGCAAAGGTGATAGGATGCGAGAAAGCAAGAGATGAGGTTATTCAGTCTGTCAGCAATTATATTATATCAAACGATATTTTTGCAAAAGACATAATGAAGTCTGAGGTAGTAATGTGGGTAACAACTATGTAAGGATCATGAGCAAAGATAGATATCCTTCATAGAGAAATGGATATTAACTAAAGCTGCCAGCCATTCATTTGCTTATAAGTATGCTTTATGGGAGAGAGGCAGTGTGAACCAGACTGTGCCAAACTGTAGCTTAATACCCTGACCTAACATTAAATTATGGTTAATTATTTCTTATGTCTCAGGACACATAATGATATTATGATGTGTAGTGATTTTTTCCTGTAAGACCTTGGTAATCTACAGTTCGTTTCTTTCATATTTCTCACAATGATCATGCCAATAGTTGTTGCATTCTTTGGCCTACTAATTGAGGGAATATTTGATGCTACATTAATGTTGTACCTATAGACAGCCCTTCCTCCTATGATGGCCAGGTTGGAGAACACACTGAGATCTGTCATGTTCTCTGGCCAGGACTGGATATTCAGAAAACCTGGGAAAGGGGACAGGTATAAGCTCACTGGTTTGTTATTGCAGTCCATCCAAGATCCATGGCAACCAAACCAAACACATAATATGTTATGGTTTCAATGTATTATGTACAGAATCACAGAAATATAATAAATATAAATGAATAGAAATTACTTTTGCCTTGTCATGTAAATGGAAGCTATTAATCATTTTAATACATGTCATTATACACCTGGAAAAAAAGTAATTTACTTGAAATGACTGAGTGAGTCCTTTGAGCTGCAACCATGGTTACAATCATGAAAACCCTTTTCTAATTCATTTAACTTACATCTGTCATAGGGTATGTTGGACCAGGCAGGTCAGCTGTACAAGCCAAAGGACACTGAGCACTGAAACTAACACGATTAATATGCTTGCAATAACTACAAAGATCAGTCATAGCAATGCATGATTAATACTACACGACTAAATCGTAAGTCATAATTAATGTCATAAGCTGAAAAGCAGATTACTTCCTCAGTACCAGGAGTTCATTGTAATCCAGGCATTAAGAAAAGAAGGTCTATAGCAGAATGACATACATTTCACAGCAAATGTGATTCAAGGGTTATATTTGTCACATGCAAGGTATACAGTCAGACTGCCACCTGAAGGGAAACGCATGGTGGTCGACTGCTATGGATCACCATCGTGATTAATGTTTGTTAGAAAGTATAATGTAACTTAGTGATGGAGGTCAGATTCAGTAATTTCTGTATACTCCACTGCCCACAAAAGTCACTCAAAGGTTAAATGCAGTTTTGCCTCTCTGCCACAATTCCAACTACGACTAGGGGGTCCATTTCCTTTTTCAAAGATGGCAAGAGAAAATTTTAGATCATCTCTCACCTGTGATCTCCCTGACTGTGCGGAACACATTGAGCTTTTCTGGATCCAGTGCCTCAATGCCATGATACACATCCCTGGGAATTAAAAAAAGAGGTGACACATGGAAGATAACAACAGCATGTTCACACACCGTTATTTCACTGCTTTTGATGCTGGGCCTCAATCGCAAAAATAGTGTACAGATTTAGTGTACAGAGTTGGGCTGGAGTAGCTAGTGGTCTGGTGCAAAATCCCTGAATGTGTATGATATATGATTTTCGATTTCAGGAAGTGCAATGCTAATGACTCTCCATAAATGGCTCCTCTGTACAGTGTGGCTGTCCCCCCATGTTTACATATACAGACAGCCCCCAGATATTGAACAAGATGCATTCCGTAAGTCTATCTTTAAGTTGAATTTGTAGGTAAATCGGAACAACAATAATACAGTACATAATACTAATAATAATACAGTAATAATTAAAGTAACTATATATATGGTACTGTACTGTACCTCGAGCCGACTGACCACTGAAGCCACATAATGTTTTCAAGAGTATCATTGTGTATGATCTGTTTTGTATGTATTTTAAACCGTGGTCCTGAAGGAACACTGCTTTGCTGTGCTTTACACTATATAATGAATACTATATACTACTACTGAATACTATATACTACTTGAACATGGAATGAAGATCACTTTCCTTCACTTTCGGAGAGCAATTCAAATGAGGATTTATATCATGTTTACAAGAACTCATCAATACAACGTATTACAGTTCTACTATTTAATCAGAGAGAGGCCTGGTTTTCTGCCTATACGTAAAATTTTTCAATTTGACTGCCCCAAATACAAACTCAAGACTAAATAAATGCCACCATTAAAAGATCTATGAGTAAGTTAATTAAGGTCTACAGAGTGCATTGTGTCAAGCAAGGAAATCAAGGCCAACCCAACTGCAGCAACCGATGGATCGGAAGGTAAAATTCATTCTGAGAATCTCACACATTTCAAACCCAACAAAAACATCCTATCCCCTGTGTGGAGACAATGCAGCTAGAAATGGACAATGCAGATAGAAATGAGTCCCTCATCAGATTAACTGACTCTCATTGGGGCAAGATGCTGGAAATAACCAACAGAAAAAGGTATATGTGCATAGGGGCTGGGGAAACTGTGATATCGTGCTCGCAGCAGTCAAGATTGTGTTTAGCACAATCTTGTGTGGCCCTATAACATCGCTGCCACACATATTAATGTGGAGGCATTGTAATGAGAGTGGGGCTCCTCGGAAACTCAGAAGCTCCCATAAAGAGATGAGAGGGAAGGATTCTCACCCTTTGATGCCAGTGATGAGGAAGACTAGGTTGCCGTTGATCTTAGTGCAGTTGAGAAACTTATCAATGTTGCTTGAATCCACGGTCTGTGCTGTCTGTAGGCTGGCAGTTCCTATGCCATCACATGCTAGAATACAGACAAAAATAATGTTTTCATACAGTTTGATAGCTGTAAAGCAATAAGGTCATGAAAGAAACCGTGTATTACACTTGCCTGATAAAAATGTCCAGAAGTTGTGTGACACGCAATCGTATTTCATAATGTACAGTTAAGTAAATAAAAGCCATTTTCAATTAAGATTCATAAAAAATTCTTGCAATCAATCAAACGTAGACAAACAGTCTTTATTAATAAGTTCCCGACAAACATTTGTGGTGTGCTCAGCATTTGCCAACTATTTTCCAGTTCCAGCAACCTTTGTAAGATCCCCTAGCCAATTCTAATTTAAAATACAACCTACATAGTTGTATAAATATATCCACCTCTCTGAAAGCAGCACTCAAAAAATAGCATGATTCAGATAGTACGTACTGAATGAAAACCACTCAAACTGAGGCAAAATGATGAAAAAATGGGTACCTTTTGGGCATATATCAGTGCAGGGAATGCACATTTTGATGCGGTTTTCTTCCACCTCCATTTTATTGCTGGGACAGGCACGCACACAGGAACTGTGGTCTACAACAAAGTTATCTGTAACACAGCAAAAGCAGGATGCATCCATAGATCAACATGACGCATGTTAAATAAAGAAAAACCTGGTTACTTTCATTTTAATGCTTGTTAATAGTGGATAAACCAGATTAATCTCCAGAAATCAGTTCTTACATTGTAATGTAACTTACTCCTGCTTTAATTTTTATTTTGCCAAAAAATGGTTCAGGCATGCTTTAAAAGAAAGGTGCAGAAGATAGATAGCAGGCACTCAGACAGTGTAAGCATTGTTTCCCAGGTGTACTAAGTGCAAGAAGCATCTTGCTGTGTGTTCTCTAGTCACTGCTTGGCATGTGTGCCAGTAAACCTTATTATCATTACCATGTTCATAACTGCAGGTTAAACTGTTAAATGTAAGGTTAGACTTTAGACCAGGGGTCATCAACATGGTGCCCGCGGGCACCAGGGTGCCTCCAAGGACCACATGAGTTGCCCGCGGATCTGTTCTAGAAATAGCACAACTCAATAGTGAGCAGTGTCTAAAATTTAATGTTATCCTCTTGGCTATTCTTCTTTAATCACATTTGCATTTCTATGGATTTGAAAGTGACAATATCTAAAAAAAAGCATTTAAAACATGTTTATAATACATGATTTAAGAAAAGTGTATCAAACTGGTAGCCCTTCGTATGGCTGAGTACCCGTGACATAGTTCTCAGTTTCAAAAAGGTTGGTGACCCCTGCTGTAGACAATGCACTCAAAAAATAATCAAAATGCAGTTTTCCAATTTGGACAGTGAAGTTCATTTTCCTCCATGGCAGTAAAATTTGAAACAGGGGTGGCAGCACTCACGCGGACATTTTTTGACACAGAATGCCCCGTAGGTGTATTTTGCCTTGGGGTTGTGCTCCAGTTGGAAGGTTGTGGGGTTGTAGACAAAAGGCTGGGGGCACTGGGTGACACAGGCACCGCTGTCATTGAAGTTTGTGCAGGCCTGCGGACATAGGATGATGGTGCTTAGACAAACGGCAAATTGTGAAATGCTCCTTTAAGAGATTTTAGCAAAGATAAATGGTGGAGGTACTGTGGCTATATATAAACCATGCATTTCATGCATGTTTTGCCAGTAAGTGTAACATTTATCACCACCTGCATTGTGTATTTTCTATATCTCACTGCATGTGTGTGATTAAAATGGGGATAAAAAAAGATGCCTAAATTCAGAAGATGCATTTGTGATGCTTGTGATATCAAATCCAGTAAGTTTAGTTAGGTGAATAAGGTATATTCACAAATGCATCTTGAAATACATGAAATGCACTTAAGAACATTTCCTTATATCCTTGCTGCACATATAATTGAGTTCTATGTTAACAAAGTATTATAAGACACTATGTCAATCAGCAATACAACAGTATGAATCTGGAGAGGACACTGACTGTGCATGGGCACTGAAGCTGCACTGATTGACTGTACATGTGCTATTACTGGGGATCTGCTGACAGTGTGCTAACAGTGTGAGAGCTGTCACTTACCCAGCAGTGCATAATCAGTCACTGTACTGACTGTTGGTGAGCTATAACTGAGTTGGCTTTGGATATGGCATAGGATGCAGTCTTTACTCACAAAGCAGTCAGTGTCTTTGGGGCCAGAACAGCCACCAGCACACTCCCTGTGGCAGCAATCACTGACGTAAGGGCCAAAGCAGCGGCCATCACACTGCTCAGCACATATCATCTTCGTCACTGTGGAGAGAGACTAGCTGTCAGGGTCTGCCATATATGACGATGAAAATAAAACCTGAAACTTGATTTGTTGCCATTTTCTAATCTTTCCAGTGTATCATGTCTCATCACACCTGCTTCACCTGTCTGAGTCCAAATGGTAGGTGTGACTATGGAGAAGCAAAAGCCCTATAAAGCACATAGACATGGGGCCTGTATCACAAAGCTGGATTTCTTGCTTAGCCGATAATTTGTTTAAGGTAGTCCGGGCTAAATGTAAGTCAGTGTTTCTCAAACTGGTCCTCAGGGATAGTCTGGTAGGAAGCTGGGAGGGAGCAAAATGTGGACTGTCTGGGGATCCTTGAGGACTGGATTGAGAATCAGTAGTGATATAAGTGAACAAAGATAAAGTCCATTTAAACTGAGGTACCTTAAATCCAACAAGTTTTTTTGGCTAAGCAAGAAATCCTGCTTTGTGATACAGGTCACTGGCCTTTCATATGCAACTGCACCAAATGTAGCTCGGCAATGAACTGAAATGTTTCCTTGGAATCCCATCCTCTCAGTCAGCTCCCTTATAAGAGTGTAAAAGAGTTTAAAACCCTGCTCAAAGATGCACTATATGGACAAAAATATTGGGATGCCTGGTCATTACACCCACAGGAAGTTTTATGACATCATTATGGAGTTGGTCCCCCTTTGCAGCTATAACAGCTGCCACTCTTCTTCGAAGGCTTTCCACAAGATTTTGGGGTGTGTCTGTGAGAAATTTTGCCCATTCATTCAGAAGAACATTTGTGAGGACAGGTGGTGAAGGCCTGGCTCCCAATTTCCATTCCAGTCATGGTGGAACAGAAAAGGACCTTCCTCAAATTGTTCCTACAAAGTTGGAAGCATAGAATTGTCCAAAATGTTTTGGTATGCATTCTTTTCTGTTCCAGCATGACTGTGCCCCAGTGCACAAAGCAAGGTGTGTAAGAACTTGATTGGCCCTTACAGAACCCTGACCTCAACTCCATCAAACACCTTTGGGATGAACTACAATTTAGTTTGCGAGCCAGGCCTTCACATCCAACATCAGTACCTGTATGTATAGGCAGTATTTTGGTTTGTTTTGGTCATTTGTTGTAATAGATAGAAAAACAGACAGATGGATGGATGGATAGATAGAAAGATTCATGTATGACCTGAGGAAAACCTGGGAAGCATTTCAGCTAGTTGTTTTTTGTTTTCAAATCTAGGCAGGGAGAAAATTCTGTTTTACTAGCAGCAATAGGTCAAACCATCAAGGGTGATCAATCACCACAGTGCTCAGACTGCAATGTGGGCCCGTCATCTCAGCTGACAGAACATCAATGAATTCCATCATTGTGCATAGAAATGAAATGGCCCACTTAAAAAGAAATGACATGTCATCAAACAAATTACCAGGAAACTGCAGCAGTCAGATCTATTTACTATTTGACATTTACTTAAATATCCAAACTAGCAGGGTAGAAAAAAATCAATGTCATAAAGTACTGTATGCTGGACACCTTACATTTGCATTGGAAAATTCATAACCTGATACAGTTTAAAAAAAAGATGATTCTAGTGTACATTACAATGAAAAAGAAAAACATTCTTTGCTAGATTCTTTGAATTAAAAAACATTCCATAGAGCAATTTATATTGTGTTAAAGCATCTTATTGTATGTCTTGATGCGTCACAGTCTGATTTACATGCTTGTAGTAAATTATTTAAAAGATCAGATCAATCTTTGCACAAAGAGGCCTTTGTTAAAGCAGTGACATTTGTATAAATTGTATAAAAGTGAAAGAAAAAGTATAAAAATGTATAAGGTTTATAAGCTTTGAAATTAGGGTGAGGGAGAATATTAAAAAGACGACAAAAAATAAGGCATATAAAACATCCCTACAGCCCTGTAGGTAGAGACCAGAGTAGGAGATGCACTACTTAGGGAGCAACTTATTCCCTAGAAAACACAGAAATTCCAGCGGAGCTTGGATTAATCATATTTACAATTTAATTCACTATTTCAAAAATAAATTTGCTGGTCATTGGTTATGCAGTAATGTGAATACATTGCTTTTGAGAACGCACAATTATGTACCATTTAAAAATTAGGGGAAAAAAATCATTGTAGGCTACAGGGAAAAGATTTTGTGTCCTTTGCATGTAACAGTGATGTCCCTTAGGGGTCTAAAGACTTTTATAAGAGAAAATTATTTTTTTCTCTTCCTAAACTCCTACAAGGAATCCTGGTCAGCACCACTACTGGGTGGATTTAAAGGGAGAGAACCTAAAAATATCAGAATAGCTTCCCACATGGTAACTGATCCATCTGTCCATATATTTTCAATATCCACAAATAGAGTAATCAAAGTAAATTGGATTGTGTGGATGTGTTTGTGTATACATGCATTATTTTATAGTACATGTATTATTTTTATAGCATGACATAGTGTCTTAACAGCAGCTTGGCAGCTTCATACTGTGAAATCACATTTCCAGAGCTGCAGGTCATGGCTGCACATGGCCAATGCATATTCTCCCAATGTTCACATTGGCTTTCTCCAGATACTGCCTCTCACAGTCAAAAAACATGTGGTTTAGGTGAATTATTGTCTCTAAGTTGTCCAGTGTGTGCGGGCGTGTGCCATGTTATGGGCGAATATCCTATCCAAGGTGCTTTCCTGGCTTGCGTACTTTGTTTCCTTGGAAAGGCTGTAGGTCCATCCAGGATACGTAAGATGGATAAATGGTTTTGGAGGTAAATAGATTACGAAGGACTTAGCCATTAGAACATCATACATGCACATTACAGTAATTCTTTTGGGAAGTAATATGTCAAAATGGAAATAAGTCACAAAACAATGGAGTGTAATAAACAAAAACTCTAATGATAGTCATAATAGAAAGCATGAATCTTTGATCAACGAAGGCCTACTATCTGCCAAACGCCCAAACTTGGGCATTATGCAACCTAATAAAAGTCATTAAAAATTGTGCAAGTGTTGTTATAACTCAATTGTCAAGGGTACAACAGCTCACCTTCCATTAAGGAGGTTCTGAACTCAAGAGACTTGAGCTACACCTGCCTCTTCCTTGTTCCTGTACGTCTTCTTCTCTACAATGTCCTTCCCAGGTGCTTTAAGTGTATTTAATGTCCATGCATGAGTAACTAGAGTGTAGTGTATCAGTGAATTGCTGCTAAAGTGGAGTGTATGGATAGATTTGAAATGGTATCCCATGCAGAACACTCACAGGTCTGGCACTGGTCCTCCCGGGGGCCCCAGCAGCGACCGTTACATGTTCTGTGGCACCGTCCACCTATGGATACATCAAGCAGCCTGGTAAACTATATTATGTATTAGTCAGAGATAGGGAGCCTAAACATAATAATTCTCAAATACGAGTTAATAAAAGTCACACATATACATTTATATTATCATTTGTCTTACCTACTTCAGCATTTGCTGTATACTACAATGAGCGGATGCTGTTCATTGATTATTCAACAACATAGTGCCTTCAAAGCTTGTGAGAAAGATCTGGAATTTGGGACTGAACAACTCCATCTGCGAATGAATCTTGGACCTTTCTACCTGCCTGATCCTCAACACAGGAACCCTTCAGAGGTGTGTGCTCATCAACACAACACTAACAATGATGAAACTCCCTACAGATCATAATCAATATTTGCAAAATTAAGGGGATGATCATGCAATACAGGAAGAAACTGGGGGCCACTAGCATCCAGGGAGCTGAGCTGGAGAGGGTCATCAAGTTCATCAGAGTGCATGCACACCACTGACAGATTGGACTGGTCACTATACACTGACATTTTGATAAAAAGGGCACGCCTTTTCTTCCTCGAGAGGCTTAAGAAGTTTGTCATTGCTTCTGAGATTCTCACTAGCTTTCACAGGTACACTGACCATCTGGTATAGCAGCTGTACCACCAGGGACTGTAAGGTGGTGAAAGAACCTCAGACTATCACTGGGGGCAGGCTCCCAGCTCTAGAGGACATTTAAAAAAAGAGAAGTCTTTGCAGAAAGCCCACAGAATCATCAAAGACCCCAGTCATCCCAGGCATGGACTATTTACCTTCAAGACTGGCAGCCGATATTGCAGCTTCCAGTCTACAACCGGAAACCTGGACAGAAGCTTCTGTGCTTGTGCTATCAGACTGTTAAAAAACCGAAAGTTCCAGATGGACTGCATCCCTTAACACTGATCTACACACCACTCACTCTCATTTGCATTTATCCTAGTATTCCTCAATTCCATTTTGCACCGTTGGCAAATGTTTACTACACTATTTATTTGCTATTCAGTATTATTTATCTAATAATTATCACTGTCTCTTTCCTTCCTTCCTCTTCCTCATCTTCAGTACCTCACCAATAAAGCTACTGTTCATGCAAGGAAACACAGAAAAAGCTGGACCAGCTGTGTTTCCTAAAACAATCCTTCCTTTATCCTTTATCCATCCATGCTTCCACCTATCCTTGCATCCACCCATCTTAAGACTGCTTCTTCGGCTAAGTGTCACAGTGGCAGCAAGGCAAGAAGGTCAAACCTGACCTCTCTTTCCAAAGCCATCGATTCCGGGACCTTCTGGGCATCCCCAGGCATTCCCAAGATAGCTAGGAGACATATTGTCCCTCCAGTATGTCCTGGATCCACCCTGGGGCCTGCCAGTGGGACATAGTCAGAACTGCTCCCTTGGAAGCTGACCAGGTGGAAATCCAGAGAAGATGAGCAGTATCATGGTCTAGAACTATCTATATTTACCAGAAGTGTTATTTACCAAATTCATCTCCACCCGATTATCATAGCATATGTCAAAGGCTTGCCCAGCTGAAGACTGATTTGGTGGTTCAGCAAGATAACAACCCAAAACACACCTCAGGAGAGGAATCCAAAAGGGAATTTCCAGTTTTCTTGAGCACTGCTTACAATTTATGTTTTGCCATTTATACTTTAAAATGCATTTTTATTTTTTTTCTATGTAGGTACTGGAAAATATATAATGTAAAACATTATGAATCCAACTTTGCAACAAGGGTAACCAAGCCACTGACTGGTCCTGTATTTTAAATTTACGTCTGCAGATTGTTGTCTACAGATTGCAATATATTGGCACCATTATTAGGGATACTTTTATTAGCCAACATACTAAGCTACTTAGGAGGAACATTGGATCTTTTAGCCTTATTATTTTAGTTTTCATGCATGAGGTGTTTATAAAACACAGAAATTAAAACAATAGATGACAACTTAATATGAATGTCCAGTATATGAATTGGCAATAATAATGTAACTTAATTACAATAGAAAAAAATAGTTATTTTACAAAGCATCCATGACTGTTTCTCCCAGTAAGGGTCATAGTAAGTTACCACAGTAATATCATTTGGACATGTCTTTACCTCTAGATCAGGAGTCGGCAACCTGTGGCTCGCGAGCCACATATGGCTTTTTGACCACATGACTGTGGCTCTTCTCAGAATGATAGCTGCATTCACATTTTTATGTCTTAACATCATTATGATAAATAATTTATCTTTACGAAAGTATTATATATGGGTTAATATTATTTTTCATTTAGATATTTCTTTAGTTATATGTGAATGAGGGAGTCCGCTTCTTAACTGCATAATTTACATCTTCCTCAAAGTCATTCACTAAAACAAGATTACTTTTCTGGTTAAATGGTATGCTTTCCTGAGTTTTCTTACGCACCTGAGATTGGATGTACGCTTCAACATTTATTGGGATTCCTAATTCTTTCATATACTTTTTGTAGTAAATCGTCACCACGCCTTCCCAGATCTTCATAAAAATTATTATATTTTCTCCGATTTACATATAATTGCCAGCTGATGAGTTGTGACTACATTTGCACTGTTCGTCAGCACAGCAGTAGTGAAGGAGAGTGAAGGGCAGATGACTGCAGAGCCGAACGAAAGAAGGGATGAGGGTGAAGACTATCTCTACAGAACTGAACGATGTTGTAATATTAGTCACCTTTGCGCTGTTACACGTCCGAGTGATTTAAAACTGAGATGTCCCCCGAAACTGGTTTTCTTTATTTTTTTGTAAGTACTTGAACTTGAACTTTTGTTTTTGTGTTAAATGCATATGTGCCCCTAACACATTAAAAAATCGTATCTCAAACCCCCTTCTCTAACCTTTGCGGCTCATTGTAAATTTTGGTTCAGATATTTAGGAAAAAATGGCTCTTTGCTTTAAAAAGGTTGCCGACCCCTGATCTAGATAGTGAGTGAGGAGACAGATCAAAGCTTTCCTGCTGACTGAAACACATCAAAGGACTTTCACTGACATCACTGAGGACCTTGTAATATGGTATCAGTTGGCAGTTATCTGGACACCAAAGAATATTCTGCAACCATCATAATGAACTGCAGAAAAATCTATAACATTGGGAAAGAAAGATTCATATACACTAGACTATATATAAAGGATTATATGGTAAAGCTAGTTTTATATTTCCATGAGCACTTTCTGAACACTACATAGCTGTAATCCAGCCAGTAAACCTGTTTAATAATGTTATTTTCCTATTATTAACCTCTAAAGCAGTAATGCAGTAGGCATATTTGTTCATTTACAGTAAGGGAATGAAGTGGTTGTTTGGGTATTTTGACATTCATGGTTCTTATATAAAGATCAGTTAAGAGGCAACTGTCCTTGCAATGGTTGCCCAATTAAATTTTAGTTCTCAGGTGGCAATAATCTTAAAAATATTTGTTTTATTTTTATGAATAAATAATGAACTTTGCAATTTATTTGACCTTGTTTTTAAAATTAAATGAATAAAAATAAAATGCCACTGATAAACTGAACATTCCTTTCTTCTGTATCTGTTTACTAACTAGTAAATACAAGATAAAGTATTAGCTGTAACCTGAGGCCAATTAAATCATCCAAAGTGGCTAAATTGATGGGCAGCTCTTGAGTGAAGCACAAGGGGTACTCACATCCCGCACTGCTGTTTGTGGGCACCACCAGCAGCTCAGAGCGGTAGTTCTTGACGATGTCTTGCCAGTGAATTGTGTCAGCATGGCACAGGAACTTGTTTTGGTCCACATAGATGCCACCGTTAAGGATCTCTGTGGGATGAAAAAGGCCTTTTAGTACGTGAAACCAGGGGAGCGGCTGCTATTACAATTTTTACAGTTTTCTTCTTCTCATGTCAAGGTGATATTGAATCCATCCAAGCATTAGTCATCTTGAATTTGACTCTTGGCCTGCATTTGTAGACATTTATCAGTGATAGGCTGCAGAAAATTAATTAATATAGAACTGGCATTAACCTGACCCAAGTAATGGCTGGATAAAAGATAAAAACCAACACACAGACCTGTCATTCATTTGATTTTTCAGATGTTTAAATCTAAAAATATAAATAGCTTCCTAATTCTAATCCTTGCTGCATCTAAATTCTGGATTTGAGCTCTGGCTGCATTATTATCAATAATGAGATAATCCTTCTGTTTAAATTTGTAAAATGTAAATGATTTACACTGCATTATTTAAATCAGTATTTGTTTATTCTTTCTGTCTTAACTGTAGTAAGAAATACTACAATCTCTCGATCCTTTAAGTACAGCCCCTGTGATTATAACATCAATAAAAAAACAAGGAATTACAAATAATTAATTCATTTATTCAGATCTATACCATATGTCCTACACAGGGTCATGTGCTTCTGGAGCCTATACCCTGGAAACAATGTTACAGTTTGCATGCTGGGGTCAGGTTTGCTATTATGATACAAATGTTCTTAGAAAGTTGTACTGTATTACATCATGGCAAAATCCAAATAGAAGCTTATAGTAGGTTTGAATAAATAACATGCCTGTCATCCAAGAAAAGCTCTATTTAAAAAAAAAAATGTTTTGCTGTGAGTCTATGTCCATGATCCTGCTACTAATTTTGAACAGTCACCCTAAGGGTCCTGCTTTGAGCCTTTAACCTGTTGCTTTAGTTAGGGTTTCTGCCCTTGTTGTGGGAGATCACAGAGTGCCCCTGGTGAGAATGGTACTGTATGCGTGTGAAAGCACTCCTCCCACGCACCAAATATACAGATAATAATATTTACGAATATACAGTACTGCACAGGCTTAGACTGTCAAAGACAATTGTTGAAACAATCTTTATGTTGGTATTAAACTGTGATTATATCTGCTAAAGTGTGCAAGCCTAGCCATTTCAAAACCTCTTCTGAAGCCATACTAGAATTTGCAGTTACCATTCAATATACCAGTGTATTTTTTGACTCGACCATTAGCACACCTTGTTTGGCTAATCAATACCTCATTCAGTTATTTAACTAAATAAGTTCATTGATTAATTGAGCTGGTACATGGAATGGTTGGGGTGCCCTTGAGGAGAGGAATTGGTGTTCATGTATCAAACAAGATATCTTTAGAGAATTGAAGAAATTCATGTTACTTATTATTGCGTCACAGTTCATCAAATATTTTTCTTAACCAAATATATACACTTACTACTCACTACCAGAGCAACAACTACCGTCAACAATATTACATTTGTGATTGACAGATTCCAATATATATAGACCCAGTTTTCTCCGTTTATTGCCAGAGACAAGTGGAAAAATTTATAATGGTTTTCCAGAGGCATAATAAACAGGTTGTTAAAGGTATTAATTATCCTTCTGTTTAAATTTGTGAAATGTTATGTTTGTGCAATGATTTATATTGTATATTTTGAATCCATATATTTATTATTATTATTAAATTAATAATATAATTTATTAACTGTCGTAAAACTAAACTGTCTCAAACTGTCATTGACTTTATGAAAGTTCCACTCTCAGATCTATTGGCAATTTTCTAAAAATTTCCCATGTCCCTGAAACCCTAAGCAATAAGCAAGAGCAGAAACAAAGAGATACAGTGTTTGCCACTACATCTTTAATATGATTTTTACAATATTTTATTTATCACAGTAAATAAAGTGGAATGTATGGTACAGTAAGGCCCAATCCCAATTCTACCCCTTACCCCTACACTTACCCCTACCCCTCCGTTTGGCGCGTTCACGTGTAGGGGTAGGGGTGTCTCAATTCTCTTTTGATTGGAGGGGTAGGGGTAAGGGGAAGGGCTAGATAGCCCTCGAAACGAAGATTTTTCGGGACCTCACTTCAGGGCTAAGAGAAATTTAGGCCCAATCCCAATTCTATTTTCTACCCCTTTGCCTCCCCCTCACCCCTTCCCCTTGCCCCTTGAAATGAA